TCATGGTCGAGGCCATGAGACCCTCAAACTGAGCATTGTACACAGAAGACGCGGAGTATACACCATCTTTGGTAAACTTCCAAATAATTGTATCGTCGACTCCAGGGGTGAGTATGACATTAGAGAGCTTCTCCCAAAGGGTGGCGAATTGCTCAACATGCTCAAAGGTGAGGCCCTGAGAGGTAATAATATGATCTCTAGGAAGTGTTCCTTATTTCTTCGGGAAATTAATGCTCAAGGGCCAGTTATGTTACACAGCACCGAGGAACAAATAGGCAAAGAGAAAAGAAATACGTATATGTGTATCTCGAATGTCAACTGCTTGGCGCCGGAATGAGAAGACACGTCTCACTCATTCCCAAAGTTCTAGTGTGTGCATGAATACATAGAGCTAGCGTGCTTAATTATTAACTGCTGATGCTGAGCCTGAAAGAAAAACGGAGCACCGCCGGCAGTACTAGCAGCTGGCAGCAGCCCATCGTGCCCGTGCCCACAGATGAAGCTCAGGCGTTGTCATCGACTAACTTGCACTGATTTGGCCGGAAGTTGTCCTCAGACAAGAGCGACGTGACGAGCCGCTGCAGCCGGGCTGCTCCAGGGCCAGGACGCAGTGGCGTCGCGTCCCTCACGATCCAGAAGGAGCCATCGCCGCCGGTATCACCGATGCTCCAGCTGCCGGGGGCAAGCATGCCGGGCTGCCGCGACCGGAGCCCTACGTCGATCCTGTCAAGCACTGGGTCGTCCTGGCCAAACTTGCATGCGAAGGGGGCATCACTGTCGAGCATCCTGTCCCAGTGGCTGGAGTTGATGAGTTCCGGTTGATGCGCAGGGAAGTCGCCCCAGAAGATGTAGCGCATGTCGTGGTTCACGGTGGTGTTCCGGAACTCCTCGGCGTTGCAGGCCATGGTGTGGAAGTAGGCCTCTGGAGAGGAGACGAGGTTGGCGTAGGAGACGAGGAGGGTGCGCGGGAGGTTGTTCCACCCCCGGATCAAGTACTTGACGAATGGCCGTGACAACACCGTCCAAGCAGAACCTGGTTATCATACAAATTGAAGTTCAGTCTCGCTGTATGGTTGTAAAGTACTATCCAAAAGTCTGAACAGTCCACTCATCCAAAAAACCAAACTGATGAAGAGAGGCGGGAAATATATTTCAACGGGTGACCATGGATGCACCGTGTGTAGTTAACAACACGTGGTACGACTTCCACTTCTAGAAGACTTATATGCGGCAATGAAAATTACCCTGGGAAAAAAGACCTAGTCTATCTTCATACACCAAAAACATGGCATTTGGAATACCAAGGTTCATACCTTTGAAGAGTGTGAAGGCGGTGGGCAGCTCCTGCTTCTCGGTATCGTTCTTCCACAGCCCCGGGTCGACGATCCCCGCCATCGCCCTCGAGGACCTGTTAAGAAAAACCATGTGTGCGGTACCGAACTCAGTCGCAAGTGTCGACGTCATTCTCTGCAGATTTTATTACGAAGGAACGTACGCTTTCCGGCCCGTGTCGCTCGTGTGGTCGATGAAGTTGAGGTCACGCGGCAGCCGCGAGAACACGTCCATCAGATCTGCAGAGGTTGATAATGTCACCACGAAATCATGAATGGAAGCAGCTATATAAGCGTATATGTGGTACCGACCGTCCTGCGTGACGAGCGGGTAGTCAGAGGCGGAGAGGTTGATGAACCAGTCCCAGTCGGCGCCGGGGCCGGGCAGGAAGTTGGCGGCGGCGTGCAGCGTGGTGGTTACCATGGTGATGCTCCCTTGGTGGTTGGCCTTCTGCAGCACGCGCACGTTGCCCACGGCGGCAAGAACCGGGTGCTCGGCCACGAAGGCCGCCAGCTCGGCGTGCTCCGAGTCGGACGCCTCCGCGTCCAGGTGGAGGATGTAGTGGTTCCGTGGGTGGTAGAGCGCGAGGAGGCAGCGGCGCAGCCTGCCGGCTTCGCCAGCCGAACCGGAGACGAGGTAGGCGAAGCGTGGGGTCCCGGCCTGCGACGAGGTAGACGAGGTGGCAGAGGAGGGGTACCGTTGATGGAATATTGTGGTGGAGGGGAATGCGATCAGGTAGGCCGCGAGGAGGAACACGGAGAAGATGCCCCCGGCGGCCACGGAGCGCACCCACCGCAGGTCGATGCCACCGCAGGAGCGTCCGAACAAGGAGGAGGGACTGCCGATATCCAAGGTGACAGAGTAGGGATGCGAGTCGGCTGGCTGGTGTTGGGTGGGTGGCATACTCGGAGTATCCATGGTGGCGAAGCGCGGTTGTGAATTGGATAAACTTGTGAGGCTTCCAGCATATAAATTGCAAGCGGATGGAGCAGGAAGGTGACGGCGCGGGCGAAGCAGCAGCGAGATGCCGCGAATAACGTCTTGCCTTGCCTTGGTTGACTGGGTGGAGGCAGCATGTGGAAGAGAGAGAGAGTGAGGGAGGGGAAAAGTGCTTGCAGCTACCGGGCTCCAGGGTTTTTTTTTGCGAGAAAAACTTCCAGTCTATTCTTGATATTTGAAATTTTTGAAAAACACACTTTGGTTGCTAAAAATAAATAAATCAAATACGTGAATGCATAGACACATTTCTAAGACCCGGTAAAAATCTAAAAAAGAAATACTTTGTATTTTGAGAAATACAAAAAAGAGAAATTTCTCATAAAAATGGCACCCCTTTTCTCTTATACATTGTCAGAAATTTGTTTTTTTTATAGCCCAAAACAAAGCGAGATTTGTACCAAAACTTGCCACGGGTATTCGGAATGTGTATATGTATCCCCAGAAAAAAAAATCATATTTTTTGAAACTTCCAAACACGAATTTCAAAGTGTTTAAATATAGGGAGCAGTGGAGCTCGGGTGCTGCAATCCCTCACTCAGATCTAACGTTCTAAAGAATCTTTCTGAATGGGATCTCCATTGTTCAACTGAGAATTTGAGGTTCTATTTGATAGGTCTTTTTTATGGGAAACGTTACCTTTCAACCGGCGGATGGGTCGTGCGTATCCAGCACCTCCGTGGCCGTCCGATTCAATTTTAATCATACAACACATAGCACTACACAAGACTGTCCAATAAGTTTTGCAACATTGGGCATGTTGCACACACAAATTTATAACACATGCTATGTTACAAACATACAAAGCACCAACAAGTTGCCAGCGTGTACATAACTTGATCATTTTTCATAAAAAAATTCTGCAACATCATCCTTGTTGCAAAAATCTTTCCGTAACATCATCTATATTGCACAAAGGTGAAAAACGAAAAAAATTCTGTAACACAAACTCTGTTGCAAATATTTGTATGCAACATGACCTTTGTTGCACAAATAATGCTTAAATAACGTGTCACGCCGAAGAAACGTTTCCGGTTGTTTTGCAACAAAGCCGTTGTTGTAGAGTGGCCATCGCAACAATCAGCTTGTTGCAGTTCGTGAGGCGCATGTTTGGAGAGATCCCATGGCTATTTTTGCGTCAATCCGATGGTCGCAGAGGTGGCCGATGTTTTTCTTTTATCCGCCGGCAGACATGTAGCATTGCCCCTTTTTTATTGTGATGTCCCTTATCCATCGAGTCGATTTTTTGTTCTCGGGGTCCATTGAGAAAAAATGCTCTTGGGCTCCCCTGAAGCCAAAATTTTCAAAAACTAAACAATCACTTTTTAAGTTTCAAAGAAACCTAAAAAATACACAAGTAAGATATAGAAGTATACTAGATGTGTATATAATTTCATCACGAAATATGTTTTGATGTGAGCTGTAAAAAATCATGTATTTTGTAGTGAATAGTATATGTGCTAGAAATACGTGATTTTTTCATTTCTGTGTAGCTCGCATAAAATAATATTTCACAATGAAACTTTGCAGAAAAGTACTATGTGTCCATATCAAAACTTAAATTTAATATTTTTACCACATATTTTTCAAAAATTAAATTTTATTTTTTTAATTCAAATTAAGTGATTCATAAAGCTTGAGCTCCATTAGCATTTATTTTTTGTTATTTTCTATATGTCTATCAATTACTCCTGTCATTCCTTTATGTAAGGTGTATTATTTTCGGCGCCATTATCAAGGCTCATAATTATAGACAATTTAAGGCAAAATTATCCTTGGCTAAATCGTTGATATGTTCTTTTATATCCCTTATCCATTGTGAGTGGATTTTCTTGCTCTCGGGCTCCATGGAGTCCTATTTTTTTAAAACTAAAAAAATATTTTTATTTTAAAAAACTACAAATAAATACATGACTACACATAGATGTATATTTTATATTCATCAGAAAATAAGTTTTGATGTGAGTTGTACAAAAAACATAGTTAATAATGCATGAGTATGTCATTTTGGAGACCATGGCCTTAATTTTGAAAAATTCAAAATCCAAGCTTTTCACTTTCAAATAAAAATCTGAAAACAGTTACACATGTATACAAGGATAGAATGTGTATGGGTGGATGAAATATCTTGAAATGCAAGCTGCACAAAAAAACCAAAACTTGGATTTTGACGATAAATAGTACATGTACTAAAAAGCCACAGATTTTTCTTTTTTGAGTAGCTCTCGTTTTAATGTATTTTTGTTGTATGATAATACGTGTCTGATTCATATCATATAGTACAAAGTACAAGTCACGTAAAGACCGAGATGTCAAAACTGAAAAGATAGCAGAACATCTCTGAGCTTGACACCAACGCCCGTCACTCTCGTTTTAATGTATTTCATCTTGGAAATTTACATACATGTACGTTATATCTCTAGGTATATGTGTACGTTTTCCAAAAACAACTGAATAGTTTGAATCTCTAGGTACATTCTTTATGAAGCTCGGCCACCATTTGGCATTTTCAATAATACATGTGCTGGAAATACATGATTTTGCCATTTCTCTATAGCTCGCACAAAAATGTATTTTGCAATGAAACTCTGTAGACAAATAGTATACATCCATATGTATAATGTTTATTTCTTTTAGATATTTTTGAAACGCAGAAAATCAAATTAAGGGCTCCTTGGAGATTGAGCTCTATTAGCAATTTCCATTCTCTATATAGCCGTCTACCTATTATAATAATAGATAGATTATATAATAGGTACATGACAGTTGCGACTAATGCCGGCAATTAGAGCATCTCCAATTCTGACCCGCAAATTCCCTCTTGCATCCGTCCCCGGACCAGGGGACCAGTCCGCAAACACGGATGCGGGAGCTGGCCATCCAACGCTGTCCGCATACATATGAACTACTATCTGAACTAAGCGGGCGAAATTCATGCAAACTGGCGAATTTTCATATAAACCAGACGAAATTCATTACATTTTGGACAATTTTTAACTAAACCCTACTCTAAATGATCGTTGGCGCCCGTTATTTTTTGCATCATGTTTTCCTCAACATGACCTCGGTCCTGTATTTTTTGTATATGTTGCTTCTTTTTTATTGCATCAATGTTGTGTTTGCCATATAATTAATCTTATTGCTAAATACGCTTTAAAGAAATGCGAACAACACACTGAAATTTTGCGGACTGCAATTTCTTATCTTAGTAACTCTAATTAGCGAACTGCAAACTACCAGATATATTGCATTGCTATAGCCTATAGGAGTAAGATATATTGCATTGCTATAGGAGTAACTCCTCATAAGTATAATTTGGACATGCATGTTAGGTGGAAGTCTACATATATGGTGCTTAACTATCTTATCCGAGACAAAGATGCATTCTCCAGATTTAATAATGCAAATTATGGAAGAAAGCTAATCACCCGTGATAATTGCTTATTGCTAAAGTATTGATTAAGTTTTTGGAGGTGTTTTATGATGCAACAATTTCTTTGTCTAGGTTTTATTATCGCACCTCTCCTCTGAAAGCATACGAAGGCGGTAAATTATTACTTCAAGTTGTTGCTCGCATGAAACTTAAATATTTGTAATACTGCGAAAACAATTCCTATGTTGTATGCATTTGCATTTATGTTGGATCCTAGGCTAAACTTGATCTATTTGGTAATGCACTCAATGTACGAGCTAGGTCCCAACATTTAGATTATTCTGCTTATTTCATTAATATTTGTGATAAGCTTTCTGAAGTTTATAGTAAGTACGAGCAAAAATATGCCGGAGTTCGGATGCAATGGCATGCACCAAGCAACTGCAGGAAAATAAAGGAGTGTGGAGCAAGTTATTTTGTTCTTCCTCCTCTGTCCCGAGCTCTTCCATAGCAGCACACTACTAGGGAAAAGGCTAGCAGCAGCGCGGGTTTTTAGGCTAGCAGCAGCGCGGACAGCCGCACTACCAATAAGGCGCTACAGCTAACTGTTACTAGTAGCGTGGGCTAAACCCGCGCTACTACTAAATGATTAGTAGCGCAGGTGCACACGCGCTACTACTAAGCTAACACCCACTCTACTACTAACCTAACTACTAACCTAACTACTAGTAGCGCTCACTTTTAACCCACGCTACTACTAACAATTTAGGAATTAAAAAAAATAAAAGTTAGATGTGGTATTCATGAATGGTAATACGTCCATTGCAAAGCTAACCAACGTCACAAAACCATCTCAGGATTCCATTTAACATTAGACACACAACCATCATCGAAGTACCTCCCCTAGTGGTCCACCACTAACCTAAACAAATCACTTCTCTAGATGTATCTACCAAGGCTTGGAGTTCAGACGCCAATGTACCCGAATCCTCCTCCCCCCGGACGATGGCGTCGAGGACCTCCACCTCGAAGACCTCCGGTGTCAAAATCACCTGGACGTTCATCTGTTCGACGTGGCCACCGTGCTTCACAACAAAGTCCGTCTCCAAGTGGTTGAAGAGCACAACGCCCACCGGGCCACGCTAGTCAGCGTCGATCACCCCTGCGCCCACGTCGGGAAAGTGAAAACTTGTTAGTACGCAAATTGCATCAGTTAAACTAAATAGTATATTACAATTCACAAGACCCATTAAGTTAAGATTCCTTATCATCTAGCAATTTAAAGGGGCTCATGCCGAATATATATGCTTAATTCCTCACTTCTTATTCAAACTAAATATATAGATTTGGCAAATGCATAGAAAAACATAAAGTCCAAAAGAAACACAGAAATGCATATGTGAACTAAATTACTTTGTGTGTTAGCAGATTTCTTGTTAGGTTATTCACTATATATAGTACCACATCAGGCAGGGTGATGTGTTTACTTCGCGCCGCAATGTTTGGCACCAAGTTCAGTCTTGGAAGACAAATACAATACATTGTTGGGCGGGACAAGGCAAAGAAAAATACAGAAATTTGTAGTTACTAAATCATTAGCATTAATTAGTGCATTCTGTCGCGGGGGTCATGTGTCAACTGATTTCAAGTATGTTCTTGCAAGCTACAAAGATGTTAAGAATTACTTGCAATCTGGTTTTTGCAAGCCACAAAGTTGTTCAGAATTACTACTTATCTAGTAGTACAAATGTTGAAAACAGATTATGAACTAGTCCAGACTCTACATACACGTATGTGATGAGCATTGAAGCATTCACTCTCCCAGGCTGTTTAGGATCATCAACCCAGTGGATGTCGTCCGGTAATAGAGGAAGTGCATCCTATATAAGGCACCCAACAAAAAGCTAAGTGACGGCTACTGTTTTCTCAGGCAGGGTGTACAAATTTAACAAAAATGAAAATGCACTAGCACTATAGAGTCCGGTATATCCAGTTGCTAGGGCAAGTACTAAGGTCTAAGACGATATGCTACTAAATGATTGATTTTGTTGTTGCTCATGGACATAGACATGAGCAAGCACATGGCAGGGCCATGAACCTATGCAAAGCATCAATTGTTTTCAGCTCCATGGCAACATGTCCAGTGGAAATCAAGATACTACCCACTTGCACAACTGAATCTACCATGCGCATGCGGGAGGCTACAGCTTCCTCAAAAAACAAGTAAAGAAGAGCATCATGGTTTCCTCACCCAAATACATTGACCCACTCGCCATCTGCCTTCCCTTCGCTGGCCAGAGCCATCGGCTCCGTCCTGGCAGCCTCCGTCACCGGGGTCATAGAGAATAGAATGGTCCATGGCTCTGCATGAACATCGAACATATCTCTCATAGAATTACATATGAAGAAAGCATCACTCCTGACAATTTCATCAAGAAAAGGGAAGTTAGCTAACTTATAGGGGAAACAAAACATCAAGATTCTAACTGAACAAAAGGAAATCTAGTCCAACTGCGCATTTTTTTAGAACATGAGGATGACCCCTATCCAACGGCGCATAGGCCTAGTGGAATTTTATTCAAGGACCAGACAAGAGCATCTTTCATTTTACTACAATAAGTAATTTAAATAGCACAAAGCAAACAACTATAAAATGACAAGTGAACTATGATCCAATATTGTGCAGAATATTAAAATGAAGGTGGATTTTTTCATATTCGAGTTTTCCTTAATAGTAACTTAAAAAATAAATGAATATATGCATAAGGTGGATTTTCACATGCAACCTGTGGTAGTTTCAGTTTGTGCCGGCTTCAATTGTCACTCCAAACCTCTATTTCTCTTGTGGGCAACTCAAAATTGTTTACAATCCGTTATCTGCAAAAAATAAAATGGACTGAACTGAGTTAAAATAAACACATTACATGAATAGGCCAGACATAAACCTCTATATGCTATGCCGAATTAAGATAAAATAAACACATTGCATGAACTGAGTTAAAATGGACTGAACTGAGTTAAATCGGCCATTTTCATTTTTAAGTGATCTATATGCTATGGCAAGCAACAGCTCATTACATGAATAGGCCGACAAGCCATGCCGTGCAATGATCTATTCATCGCAGAGCGTAGAACCATTCACATGGCAGCCATTCAACAACAGATATATAGAGATTGATCCATCATCCAACACATTGATCCGCTACGAAATTACCACACGACAGTATGATGATATTCACATGAACACAACAACAGGCCTGTCATACACACACATACTACTTAATGATTCATTCAATAATAGTTCATGAACTAGTAATAATTCCCAATAATAGTCAGCAGCTAGAGGAAGGACACCACAAATAGGTGGAATCCCAGCGAACCTAATGATTCATTCAACTCAACTCTGCTTTGAACAAAGTTGGCCTCATTTAAATAAGAAGAATTGGAGAAGCGGACTTTCAGATCTACAGCACATACATTGGGCCAAAATTAAGGTCAAATTTAACTACAGGACGGCATGTATAATAATAATAGTAGTAATTCACCACTGAGATAGATGAGAAGATGAATTGATATGGGATTGTGAGACTCGACAGTGACGGCTACAGTATCAAATTTGTCCTTCCTTTGCAAGAGAGGGAGAGAAATTAGATTGGGGATCGGAAGAAGGTGGGTACGGCCGGTGGATCTGTTCATTGTTGTGGAGGAAGGAGGGCTTGTAGGCTCTTGGGGTAGTCCTCTCCTGCCTCACCTCACCTCGTCTGCTGCCTCACGCAACAAGTCAGCAACGCTGTTGTGTGTGTGCGTCTGCGTCTGTGCAAACCAAAGCTGGCTGCGCATGAGGGAGGGAAGGGAAGGAAAAAAGGAAAGGGAAAGGGAAGTAGATCGAGAGAGTACCTTGGCGGCCATGGCGTCGTCGACCGAACGGAGCGGAAGCAGACGGACAGATGGAGGTCCTGTCCAGGCGCGCGAGCTCGCGATTGGGGAGATGCGGCCAGCGCCATGGATGTGGAGCTCCAGGTCCTAGCCGTCGGCCATGGATGTGGATCTCCGGGTCCAAGCCCTGACCTATTCTCTTCTCGTCGTCTTCTAGTGAGGGGAGGGGCGAGGGTGGCGGTGGCGGCGGCCGTGTGGAGGCCTGGCCGGCCGGCTGCAGCGCTCGGGGCTACACACACTCGTGGATTGGGAGGGGATTTGGATCGAGGTTTGGGTGGAACTTTTTTTTTTGATAAACGTGGGCGGGTGGACGGTGGAGTGGTTGGTGGGGTGGGAGCGGATGCAGGTGGTAGCATGGGGTTTATAACCCGCGCTACTACTATCGACTTAGTAGTAGCGTGGGTTTATAACCCGCGCTACTACTACTGGTCCCGGGAGGCACAGTGGAAATCACTTAGTAGTAGCGAGGGGTAAAAACCCACGCTACTACTATCGGGTTATTAGTAGTGCGGTTTTCTCAAGCTCGCTACTGCTTAGCAGTAGCGTTTGTTTTTAAACCGCACTGCTGCTAAGATTCTGTGTATAAGTTTTTCCCTAGTAGTGGCAGCAATGCCAGTGCTTTCGGGGGCGGGGAGTTAGCAAAGTATCTCAACAACGACCAAGTCAGCTTCAATAAAGTTGACGAGGATGACTTCGACATACCGCAGTGGTGGCATGACCACAATATTACGTATCGGATGATCTTTATATAAGCACATGATGTCCCGTTAGTACCAGCCTCAACGACATCATCAAAGTTTGCTTTCAGCCTAGCTGAAAGAATACTTCAGGGATAGAGCAACTAGTCTCACAACGGATATGGTGAGAAATCTAATTGCCATGAAAGATGGGGGACTAGCCAGAAGGAGCCCAACACACCGCAGATAAAAAGAAATGGAAGCCATGTTTGAAAATCTTGCCGTCGAAGAAGAAGATAGTCGTAGTAGTATTTGTATATTTTTTTTCCTTTTTCTTTTGTAATTTACTTATCCTTTCATAATTTTCTTTTCCTTTTGTAATCTACAGCATGGCATTGTACCATTTTTCGTCCCCGATCGAGGATAGAAGGGTTTAATGAGGCAGCCACTAATAAGGCTCAAGATTTATCCCATTTAACAGTCTGCTTATTGTTATTTTTTCCTGCATTTTTCTGACTTTTTCACATTTTCCCTGAATTTTTCGAGGTATTTTACACGATAAACTGGCCAAACAGGACAAACGGGCTAAACGTGCCTGTGGGCCAACCCGTTTAATAGCAGTGGCCGTGCCATGGACCTGAAGGCTGGCATGGCACGGCCCACCTAGCCAGGCATGTCTAGCCCTGGGCCGTGCCGGTGCCGGCCCTGGCCAGGTTTGTATGGATGACAAACACTAAAAAATATCAGTTCCTCGGAAAAACAGAGTGTTGGATAACTGAGCCACGCTGAGGCTGCCGCTTCCCGGATCCGGGGGAGGCGTCGAGGTGCAGTCTGCGGAGCAGGGCCGCGGCTGGAAGCCCAACCTGAACCTGGGACGCACGCGGGGGGAGACCGGGAGGCGGATGCGGGGCTCCCGGATTTCGTGGCTTGACTTGGTGGCTTGTCGGGGGTCCGCCCCGCGCGTCGTCGGGCGCGGCTTCTGCTGTCATCACCGACCGGCAGGTCGCCGTCGCCCGAGTCGTCGGCGTGTAGGTGGGGGCGGCTTCCTCTGTCGCAAATATCTCCAACGACGAGTGGCCCTGGATTTCTGTGGTTCCATTTGGTGGCCGCTCGAGCCCGCGCTGTCAATGGCACCCGTCGCCGTCGCGCTTGGCTCTTGTTGGCACTCTCCCTCCGGCGATTGGCCGCCTGGGGTTTCCCGGTTGCTTCGCGCCTTGTCTTGTCGCCCGTGCCGTCAGTGCCACGCGGTTATCGCCGTCGGCAGGACTGCTCGCGCGTACATATCCACTGGTTGTGGCCTCTTTTGCAGTTCGTGACGTATTTCCTGCTTGGCTCCACAGTTCCCTTCCCCTCCAGTGGATACCATTAGCGTCTTCTCTGTTCCACAGGCATCCTATCTTTGCTGTGCTGTGGTCTGGTGACCAGTGAGCAGTTGCGCAATTGTTCAGACTTCAGACTTGAGAGTTCAGACCAAGCAAATTGGCTTCAGACTTCAGCTCGTGAGGTATTTACCTGCTTGGCTCCACCGTTACCTTCCCCTCCCTTCCTACTGAAAGTCCGGCAAATTTTCGGCTCCCCGAGCCTGCCAATTGCCACAGGGTCGGTGCAGTGGGTGCCATTAGCATCTTCTCTGTTACACACGTATCCAATCCCCGCATCAACCATGGTTTAATTTTGGCTCCTTGATTTTACAGGTGCTCTTTGCTGCGCTGTGGTGACCCGTCAGCAGTCGAGCAATTGTTTCAGACTGAGCAATTAGAAATCGAGGCCCGATGGAGGTGGTGACCGGAGCTATGACCACCCTCCTGCCCACGCTCGCAGGCCTGCTCAAGGAGGAGTATGACCTGCACAAGAACACCAGGGGTGAGATCAGGTTCCTCAAAGCCGAGCTGGAGAGCATGGAGACAGCCCTGCTCAAGATTTCTGAGGCACCTTTGGATCAGCCACCTGACGTCCAGGTCAAGCTTTGGGCGAGGGAAGTCAGGGAGCTATCCTATGAAATCGAGGACAGTGTCGATAAATTCATGGTGCGTCTTGATAGACGTGCACAAAAAAATCCGCATAGCTTCATGGGCTTCATCAATAAGAGCATAGATCTGATGACGAAGGCTAAAATCCGCCACAAGATGGGCACTGAGATCAAAGACATCAGGAGCCGTATCAAGGAGGTCAGCGAGCGACGCGATAGGTACAAGGTTGACAGTGTACCTTCCAAGCCTGCCAGACCAACTATTGACAGCCTTCGCCTATCAGCCCTATACAAAGAGGCAACAGAACTCATTGGCATCGAAGAGAAGACAAATGACCTAGTTAAGAGGCTGACAGAGGGGGAGGGGGCGTCCAAGCAACAGGTCAAGACAATCTCCATTGTTCGTTTTGGAGGCTTAGGCAAAACAACCCTTGCTAATGCTGTGTTTCATAAGTTTAAACCGGAATTCGATTGTGTGGCCTTTGTTTCCGTGTCTCTTAATCCTAACATGGAGAATATTTTCAAAAACATGCTCCATCAACTTGACAGGCACAGATACTTTAACATCAACGAATCAACATGGGGTGAAGCAGAGCTTGTCAGCGAGCTAAGAGATTTTCTTCTAAACAAGAGGTACGCGTCTAAGCATCAACCGCAAAATAGAAGCTATGAAACGTTATTATGACTTTAGCATGTTATTGATACAGCTTGCTCAATCTGGATCCAGTTTTGATTTTTGGTATGTCCCGTGTTCGTAGTTGTGGACCACTTTGTGTGCAAGAGGTCTTTGGTTCTGAAATAATTAAATATTTGAATAATATTAATATGGGAGTACTGGACTTCAAGGCAATCCGACCCATGGGCGGCCGTGCCCATGGGCACCCGACCCGAATGGGTAGGGTATGGGTCGCCATCTTCATCTATGGGTAAGCCCGATGGGTAACCCGATTAGTCGTGGGTAGGGTATGGGCATAAGGTCTTGCCCATGGGTCACCCGATTAATATTAGTAATTAGAATGTATTTTATTTTAGATGACACATGAACATTTTAAGCTTACATTAGAAATAGAAGTTTACATTGAGCTTAACTAATACATGGTCATTTGATATCGTCTTATAGGTACTTCATTGTGATTGATGACATATGGAACAATTTTGTATGGAAAGAAATCAAACATGCTTTGATTGAGAACGAATGCGGAAGTAGAATAATTACAACAACTCGCGCTTTTGATGTTGCCAAACAAGTTGGTGGTGTTTATGATCTAAAGCCTCTTTCTCTTGCGCACTCAAGAAACTTATTCTTCCAAAGAATATTTGATGCTGAAGAAAAATTTCCTTCTAATGAATTAGCCGAAGTATCTGATAACATTATTAAGAGATGTGGTGGAGTACCATTAGCTATTATTACGACAGCTAGTATGTTAGCCAGTAAAAACAGAAATGATTGGTCCAAGGTCTACCAAGCTATGGGTTCTGGGCTACAAGATAGTACTGATGTGAAGGACATGAGAAGGATATTATCAGTCAGTTACTATGACCTACCTCCACAACTAAGAACATGTTTATTGTATATAAGTTTGTATCCAGAAGATTATAAGATCATTGCTAGAGATTTGATATGGCAATGGATTGGTGAAGGCTTTGTTCAGGAAGAACATGGAAAGAGCTTGTATGAAGTAGGAGAAAATTATTTCTGTGAGCTCATTAACAAAGGCTTGATCCAACCAGCAGATGTCACTGATGATAAAGCGAGTGCTTGTCGTGTACACAATATGGTGCTTGACCTTATCACTTCCATATCAAGGGAAGAGAATTTTCTAACATGTATAGGTGGTCAACAATCTGGATCTGCACCAAGTAAGATCCGTCGTCTATCAGTCCAAAGCATAAATGAAGACGATGCCAAGCAGATGGCAACTATGAACTTGTCCAATTTGAGGTCAATCATTGTGTTTGGACGATATATCAATTTGTTACCAGTCCTTTCAAGGTTTTCAGTGTTGCGTGCATTGGACATAAGTTATTCTTGGAATGTGGGCAATCATCATGTAAAGATTATTTGCAATATGTTTCACTTGAGGTATTTATGGCTACACAATACATGTATCTCTGAGATCCCGGATGAGATTGTGAATCTTCAGTTCTTGCAAGTACTGGACATAAGTGGGACGACAGTACAAGTGTTACCAGCATCATTTGTTCAGCTAACACAACTAGTGTACCTTCATCTTGGTATGTCCACGGCCCTGCCAGCAGGATTGGGGAATTTAAAATCGCTGCAAGAATTGCTAGGTATCAATATTGCGTCTCCATCCATGCTGCATGATCTGAGCAAGCTGACTGAATTGAGGAATCTTCGTGTCAGGTTTTATGGATGGAACGATGACTATAAGGAACTTTTCCAGCGGTGTCTCTCCAGCCTGTTCAATCTCAAATGCATTAAAATAGATGGTGTCCATCGAAATATTGATTTCGGAGGTGACAACTTGTCGCCTGAGCAGCTTCACTGCATTCATCTGACCTCTAGCGAGATTTGTGATGTGCCAAGATGGATATCATCGCTCTCCAACCTCTCTACCCTTAAAATCCAGGATCTAAAAACACTTAGTCAGGAGCATCTTCAAGTGCTTGGCATCATGCCATCACTCCGTGATCTCAATATATGGGTGCCGGAAATCGCACAAGGCCGACACGAAAGGTTTGTGATTGGCAGCAGTTATCCATTCCGGTGTCTAGCAAAGCTCAAGATCGGCAGCCAAATCATGGGGCTGAAGTTCGCACAAGGGGCCATGCAGGAGCTACAAACCTTTGAGATTATTTTATCAGTGCAGCGGACATGGGATTGATTTGGTAATTTGGACTTTGGCCTGGAGAACCTTTCTTCGCTTAAACAGGTCTATGTTGGGAGGTGGTACGCTGTGTCATGGTCCAAGCCAGAGCCGGAAGAGTCAGAGGATGCAATTTGGCAAGCCGTACACATGAATCCCAACAAGCCGACGCTCGAGTTCGTCATGGTAACTACTAACTACACCGATTCACCCTTCCAATTAACACATATTTAGTTCTTCGCCTCGGGATTAGTTGCTTCTATAATTTTGTCTTTCTTTACCATGCATACATATTTGATTTCTTACCGCGTTCTCTTTTGACAGTTCAAGTTGTGATGATGAGTCGGAAAATCATTTTGGAAAATCATCCTCGTTAATCTGCAGGTGTGTATCATTACACTATATTAACTGCTAGTATTATCTTGGCCAGCAGATGATGATTAATAACCCCTCTAATATTTTGCCATCTTCATCTACAGCGATGTCTCCTGGTGATTCTTCAGGAGCTACAGTTATTACATCAAATAAATAATCTGTTGTGCAGAGGATTCCTGCAAACTTCTTATGCGATCTGTATCATTATATTGACAGTTTCATGTCATGTATCTATTATGTCCCTGGATCATATTTTCCGTGACGGTGTCCATGACAGGATGAATGAACTGAGACCACATCTTGTTTCTCTTCCTGAGGTTTGTTCTGAATATACAGGGGAGTATTCACTTGCAATCACGGGTCTTAAATCTGCAAACAAGATGGTGAACTGCTCGGATCTAGGCTAAAATGCAGAAGCTAGTTTCTTCCAGAAGTGGCGCATTTAATTTCTTCCAGAAGTTTGTTCTGAATATACAGATGAATATTTACTTTGCAAGTGTGGATGCCTACTTTTTCTTTTATCTGGTGCATGCTTATTAGTACTATTGTTTACTGACATCTGAAACATGTAAGAGCAACTTGTTAAAAAAAATTAGCTCAGGGCAAGGGCAAGTGATTACTGGGTTGCTTTAGTTTGGGCTTCTTCCTTTTACAACACTGTTCATCCGGGCTGAGCAAGTTTAGGGTTTAGGGTTTTTCAAAGCCAATAGGAATTTTCAAAGCCAATCCTATGAAATTCCTGCAAAATTCTTTTGTTTCAAACAGGGTATAAGATGGTACTACATGTATGGGGACTTATGCCTGAGAATATGATTCTGCAACAGAAAGCATGTGATGGAACGCAAGCAGAGATGATGCATCTGCCCAGATTTGAAGGTTGATATGTAGCAATTCTATGGAAAATTGTTGCAGTTTCTATGGTTGACCGGTCTGGTCGGAGCGACGCTCACATTGGATTTGCTCTTGAACAGGATTCTTTGCCCCACACCCTATCCCTTGTCCCATCTCTCATTTTCGCTCACCCGTGCTCGCCACGGGTTCAGATTTTTAGTCAGGGGAGTTCGCTGCCTCTAACTGCTCATGAGCGCCACGGAGCTTAGCTTGAAGACATTGGAGGAAGGGTCGGGCCTCTTGGTACATAACCAAAGAAGGTGACATATTGGACACGATTTGTTCCCCGACCAATATCACCGCCTCACTCGGAATTTCCCCTAGTTCAAGGTCGTTTGGTGTGACTGCCTCATTGTTTGCATGCTCGCAACCCTCCCCAAAGTTTAGCACCTTGCTTTTTACATGGTCTGGCCCTTCTTGTCAATTTTACCTTTATGACCATGCAAATCAAACACAAAAAGGGTTGTTTGATCCATAGCCCGGTTCGTAAAAGGGATTGCCATCTGATCTGACATCCGGAGGAACATCTAGGCATTCAAAACTGATGGTCGGGACGAGAGGCATGCCCGCCTGCCATTTGGTGCTCACACCTACAATGACTTTCTTTGTGAGGCACGCCGCCTCAGTACCATCATTGTGTAGCCCCGCCATAGTAAGGTGTGGAAGCTGGAATAGAAACATTTTGCTGGTGACGAAGATGCTAGGCATTAGCTGGAGAGAGGTGGACTAAGTTATGGACGAAATCCGTGATGGATGACAAGTATCAAGGATTAATTTACTGTTGATCTCGGGATCGTGCGATGAGTCAGGGAGGCGAGTAGAGATGAGGCAAGGAATCCGGGATCACTTCAGAAACAACAAAGTCATAGAGGTTTCCCAAGTTTGGACCTTAACATGGATAGTAGGCCTACTTGTGCTACAAGTGTAATTGATATGTATGATTAAAGATTACATGAACTAGATTGCATATATAAAGCTAGATTTTCAGATAATGGCAATTGAAATGTCTTAAGGCTCCGGTAGGGGTCTATAAGCCTTTTTATAGAGGCATATTCGTTCGTAGCAAATTATCAGTCTTCGATATCATACAATATGTCATCCCCAAACAAAATAGGAAAATACATTCTAATTATGATAGGATCCCAGAGTTAGCATATCTGTCCATCTATATTATACAACCATGGGGAAAACTACAAGTGGTTTTATTGAACATGTTATGACATACTATATGGCAACAGGAAGTATAGTATAGACAAAAATCATACACAGAGTTGAGCAAGCAGTTACTAGTAATTAAGCCCCATTGAAAAAATGGCTAAAGATCTACTCTTACTTAGGGTGAAGATCATTATAATCATCGGGACCGTAGGACTCAAATAATTCGGCAAAAAATCCATTCTTCCTTCTTGGGTTGCATCCCATGTCTTCACATAATCTATCATTGTACCAAGTAGGAAGAAGTCCAATGCACGGTGTACGGGATTCTTCACGAGAGTAACGCTTCATGACCTTTTCACATTCAAGGACATCCCTCTGCATTGCTTTAACAGTTGGTAATCTAAATCCACCATCCATGAAATATGCTAGCCACTTAGACCGCAGTTCCGATGTGTAGACATTCGCATAGTTGTCAGAATATCCGATGACCGCAAGTTGTGGAATCTTAGGATGTATGCACTCCCTGTGAAACAATAATCAAACAAATTATTCAATAAAGACTTAAAGTATGTAAAAAAAATATGTCTAGCAAAGTGATGACCTATAAAGTGGTGTTGTCGTGGATGTTGAGCCAACGACAATAGTATGAAAGTACTTTGATATGAACATGTCCTTGATGTTTTCATCACCATTGAATCCTGTTCCGAATATAACTATGTCACTCTTTACCAACGTAGATTCACCTTCAACAAGCACGCCTTCTTTGCAAAAGCCAAAGGTCTTTGACTTTTTAATAACTATGATGCCTTCCTCTAAATTCTTGTAATGATCCTTGGGTGTAGTGGAAAGCATACATCCCACCATCCCCTCAAAAAAGCTATGGTCAGGCACCATCTCATGCTTCTTCATTGGAATGGAGTAGTAGCTCTCAGCAAACTTTGAAATCATCAACCTCTTCTCACACACAAAGGAACAACAAACATGTCTAAAATTAGTCTAAAACAAAACCATTTACACTTCAAATAATATTAAGATTATGAATTATATAAAATGGAAACATGTTGTAGTACCAATGGAGTCAAGACGGTAGCTAATATGCTAAGAAGGAAACCTTCACCGGGCTTGTGAATAAGGAGTTCAGCAAAACGAGTTAGATAAAAATTTGATATGTTAATACCCCAAGCATAGAAGTTCGGTATGATCCATTGCTTGGTTCGGACTACCATTGTGCATGGTTTCTCCGTACCTAAATAACAATTAAAATAGAACGTTATAAAAATATAATCACAATGTTTCGTTTTTACCTAGGCAACTATAAAGATGAAGATTATATAAGCATGATAGGCAATGCATACATTGGAATGCTTTAGAAAAATGGACATAAGAATGTTTAAATTTCATTAACCAAGAGAAACAAGGTATGTTTAATTGAGGATTGAATATTTTTACCATTTATATTTGCACATTCATTAGCAATGTCAAGGGCTGAATTTCCATAGCCAACAACAGTCACACACTTGTCCTTGATCATCTCCTTAGCTTTCTCGCTACCCATTTTGGAGTAGTCCATGGAGTGGATCACTTTCCCATCAAATGCTTCTGGGCCTCTACCGGGAGGGAATTTGGGTATGCTGGGATAATTGCTAAACCTTCCCGTACAAAGAATCACAAAGTCTACCATGTGTACCTGGAGAAAGGGAATACATGTTTATGAACAATCACATGAGAAAAGTTAATTGGTGTAACACCCTGGCCTAATATGAGTTATAACTAGCCCACCTGCACGGTGGACCCATATATATGTAGCATTCCCCTTACACTTTCATCTTTGCATCATGTAAAAGGGTTAGCTCAATGGTGCTATATTAGGAATACAAGGCTGGACCAAAGAAAGGGTCGTCGTTTACTTGGCAAACTATTGTGGCTGGAATTCAGACTTTCAAGAGAGGTTGTGTATGGCGGGTTGGAACGGGCTCGCAAATAAATATTTGGGATGATCCTTGGATTCCTTCTAGTGCATCAAGAAAGGTTATAACACCTAGAGCAGGAACAATGTTATAACACACCTAGTGGAGGAAATTATAGACCCTCACACAGGACAGTGGGATCTAGAACTTATTAGCTATGTCTTTAAACCGGTTGATGTCAAATTCCTCTCCGGAAGGAGGCCATGGAAGATCTTGTGGTGTGGCAGTATACAAGGTCAGGAACCTTCTCGGTTTGATCGGCGTACCACGCAGAGTTTAACCATCGGTTTGGGAGCCAAATAGCCAGGTCGGACAGGGTAGCGTTCAGT